ATATATATATATATATTCGACACAATGACCTTGTCTGCATCAGCGGGTGACGTTTAGATAGACAGGTCTTTCAGAACCAGTCCACTGAAAAATCAATGCCATGATTCAACGTTTTTGTAAATGGGTTGGGTGCTACTAATCGCAACAAACGTGACTTGACAGTCTTTATAGAATATTCCATAAGAAGTAGTATTTGAATGACTGGATAAAATTTCCCTAGAAGCACACGACCAGTTTTGCGGTTCTTGCCGCTCGTCAGGCATGTGTATCCGGTAATCTTTTGTCAGTTCATTCATATGCTTGTACCCAGGAAGTATATTTTCGACACAATAACCTTATATATAATTTCGCACACGTCTGAGGCCAGACTGTGCCAAACAAATCACGGTACAATAATCGTTATAAAAAGAAAAAAGCATGATTTGCATATGAGCGCAATACTTCCGGATTGCCAGGACTAAGTCAGATGAATTTCTTTCATTACACACGAAGTGATTTGCAGCAAAAACGATAAATCCCATGATCAATGATATACTGGTTATGGAGCTATGTGAGGGAGCATTCAAGTAAGAATCAGTTTGTTAATTCTGCTTTTGAAAAAGGTAAGGTTATAAGAGCTTGAAAGTTCAGTTTGTACAACAATTAACCATGCGCTATCGTGCGCTGGTTTTGGTTGCTGCCCTTTGACTGTTAATGTGGATTAACATTGGGATAAAGACAGGAAAAGTTAAAAGTAGGATCAACGAGAAAATGCAGAACTTCAGTGGACTGATATTGCAGGGAGATTGACAAGATGCACGAACACCACTGTTTACGACACCCAGCCATATCACTCAGTGTCTGTAACCATTGGTTACGATCATCCCGAGGTCCCCATCCAGGGAGCCTAACGGGACCTAGGTGACCCAGTACCCTGGTTATGGTTTTCATACCCTCATGCCAGATCTTAGGTTGACCACCCTTGGCTTTTTTCCACCCATTATCTACCTCGGCGAATATCACTTGCTGTGGCAATCTATTTGATGACATGCGTAACACATGCCCCAGCCAACGTAATCTATGTAGGTCGACCATATGCCCCAGTGGGTGACCGCGGTTACCTAAAACTCTGCACCTAACCTCAGCGTTGCTCATGCGGCTGCCCCACCAGATTCGTGCAATGCTGCGTAGACAGCGGTGTTCAAACAACGACAATTATCTTTATCCTGTTTTCTTAACGGCCATGTTTCTGCGTCGTAGAGCAGAACTGTCTGATATGCCGCAGTATACACTCGACCCTTCAAAGACAACCTTATGTTGCGGCTGCGCCATAGATGTCTCAAGTTGGCAAATGCCGACCGAGCCATCTGTATGCAAGCTGACACTTCATCCGTGATGCGTCCTCCTGGCGAGATGTAGCCCAAGTAACAAAATTTATCCGTTTGCTCTATTACTTCCCCGGTTAGAGTGAGTCTGGGTGCTGGAACAACCCGGTCTTGTAGTAACTTGTAGTAACACTTTGAATGTGCAAAACGCATGTGTTGGTGCTCAAGCTATCCAAAATAGCTTGCAACTTACTTGCATCTTTGCCTAACAGCACAATGTCATCTGCATAATCCAGATCAGACAGTCTGCCACCTGGAAGTAATTCCATGCTACTATCCTCGCACGAGGCTAGAGCTCTTTCCATAATCGGATCTATAATAAAGTTAAATAGAAACGGAGAGAGAGGGCAACCCTGACGAATACCACTTTCGGAGGTGAACTCGGGTGTAAAAGTGCTGTAAGCCCGGACTCGAATTCGGTTATTAGAATAAAGAGATTGTAATACTGAAATCAACTTCTCGGGTACACCTTTCAGAGAAAGGGAGCACCATAGTTTAGAGCGGTCGACTGAGTCGACAGCCGCTCTCAAATCGAGAAAAACAGAGATTTTAGAGCTTGAAACACGCAACTGGGAAGTGTTCCACAATTTCGCAGTCCTCGGGAAAAAGGAATAGTGGAAGATAGAAGTCCGACATTTGGGGACGGAAACCTGATAAGGGTGACTACCCACCGGAGAATGAGATGGACGAGAAAAGGTCAACAGAAGGGGAACCGCTGAAACGAGTTTGTAAGAGCAGAAACCAAAATAGTAACGATAGAAAAGAGATAAAGAAGCAATTTCCCGGCAGTGGGAAAGCGACTGCCGGTCGGAAGTTAAGGAGGATACAGAAACAGCATCCTCTCTTTTCTTGCTTGCTTTCTAGTTAATCGGGCACCAATTATTACAGGTTTGATTGAACACTTCACGAGTTAGTTTATTTATTCATTTTTTTATCTGGTACTGTCGTCTTTCTGCATACAGTTTTCTGTCGTTTTTCAATAGACCTATTCACACTCAAAGGCCATCCCTCTCAATTCCACTGTAGTATCGTGAAAAATCGCTGAAAAATCACCATACGAGTGCATAAAGCTTACTTTGACTTGACTTGATTTCTAAGACGTGCTTGCTGATAGATCTGCATCAGAGTCATCACGTAGAAGGACCCAAGATTGAGAGGTTAAAGAGGCTTCAAAATATGCGAATTATTTAGTGGTAGACTACCTACAGTGCTATTTGGCAACGACCATTTCCTGATGGAAATAACGAAGGTTGAGTATCGAAGACAAAGGTAAAGGTTGGGACATCTGAGCAGTAGCCTACTTATCACTAACCACCCTGCAGTGCGGTCCAGATAATCCGGCACGACGACCGATGCAGTGTGAAATTATTTTTTGTTTGTGTATTCATTGAAGGTTTAATGACCGTTACCGCCAGGGTGTCCAGCCGTTAATCAGGAGAACAAATGTGTTTATCGTCCAAAACCTTTAGTTCTAACAAGAACCTAACCACAAGGCAGCGGAAAACGCTAAGCAGAGGCCCATTCACTTAGATCGACTACGCCTCTATAATTTTACCTACTGCGACGCTAACTTGAGTCGAACTCCTAACCTAGAGGATCCGGATACTGAACTTTGTTTGACCTCTACCCTCTAACCTTCCAGGCATGATAAAATCTCCTGGCTTGATGAAATCCATCCAGTGTAGGTCGCTGGGTTATTCAGGTGCACAAGCCATCAGACCACGTCAAGTTGCATTCTCATAGTTATGGTGACAAATGGCAGTAGCATTGTCAAGGAAGTAACGGCCTGCAATTCCAAGGCACGAACACCTTATGCAGGTGCAGATGTGATGTTTTGTTGAAACTGAAAGGTCGTGCATACTGCACCAGTGTGCGGTCAGTTCTGCTTCACGGCTGCGAAACCCTGAATTTGCGCGTGGAAGATATTCGTCGTCTAGAAGTCTTCCAATGCAGATTTTTACGTAGTTTGGCGCGGGTTGGGTGGAACGGGTGTGTGTAAGCAACTCTGAGGTGAGGCGTCGTTTATTTAATAATGATTCGGTGGAAGTGGACTGCGAACTCAGCTCCATCCTGCTGTCTTGCAGTTCTGGCTTTCTAGCCAAAGGCTTCAGATGGGGACCCCGAGGTTATCCCCCTTCCTCGATCAGGGCAATAAAAGAAGACGGGGGGGGGATACAAAACAGAATAAAATGGGGGTCAAACAATTATAGTCTATAACAAGAACCACAATTTTCTCGTTCGTTTTACCGTACATTTTGTACTGATGAGGGATGATAAATCTTCAGGTAATAGAGTCAATATTCCTTATGCAAGAGTTCATGTAGATTTCGACAAAGTGTTGTTGATTACATCTGGGTTGCAATCCTTGGGTGCTTACGCCGGTAAGTCACACTACTCGCTTCTTTCGAAGCAAAGGCTGTTTACTTTGCACAGACCTCGTTTTCCCTGCGACAACAATCATCGGAGTCCGGCTCACAATGTTTTTCATTATATGAAGACGCTGCTGACTGGGATGATGATGAATGGGATCCAGTCTAGCTGTCTCAGTGAGTACGACGACAACGTCAGCATGATAAGGTGCAGCGGTCTCATTGTCCCCTGAAAGGCCTAAGTGGAACATCGCAGGTTGGTTGAATGGGGGCTTCAATCAGATGATGGATTTCTACTCTTAAATGCTGTTTATTACTTCTGCGATTGATCGAATAGTGACGTGTACTTGAGAAATAATAAAATATACAATTGTTTACGTATGAAACAGGACAGATCACGAGAACTCTGTGGGTTGTAGCTTGTGAGTCGTTATTTCACAGTTATTACCCGCTTGATTCAATTAGCTAGGAAGTAATTTACTATCTTGTCCTACTGTCCCATTAGAATGGTTAAAATGACGGTGGTGGTGCAGTGGTTTAGTCGCCTTCACCGGCGTGCTTTGGATCGCATCGTCCGAGGTTCAGCCTACCGACCGCTCCCCCTCCCCCCAAGTTTGGTGGTAGGCAGCTTTTCTGTCGCGCATCATCCTACTATTACGCTGCCCCAAAGTCCGATCAAAAGTAAAACAAAGCCCCGATATTAAGTTGAGGCATTTAAAACGATCGGGTGTGTAACAAAAAGACTAACGTGGTACGTTCCTCTGATCAGCATAAGTAAATTTCTTTGTGAAGCAGAATGACAATTAGATCGTAATTGAAATAAATTTTTTTTAAATTTGTGATATCTCGTTGTCAACTCAAGATATTTGAATATCAGCTTAACATATCCTGAGTAGTTGTGATGGACAACTAGGAGCTTCTAAACAAGGGGATTTCCCAAATGTTATATATATATATATAATGACAGTTTTTTAAACAACGGTGTTGATTGCTGTTTTTGTAGCTCGGGTAGTATAATGTGATGTTCAGTTGTTCGCCGAGCTTGGCAATTGTATTGCAAACATTTCATCACCAATCAAGGTGACATTCTAAATGCAGTTACTGCAGTTAGCTTTCACGTCCCGTTCGCATTCCGATCTTCAAACGTTTATTGATATTAAAATGGTATGTGCTATTGCTTGAAATGACTAAGTGCACTCATCAAATCAGAATTTTTTGTCTGTGTTCGTCCTGAGCTTTAACTGGATTATTCATCTTGTTTACAGGACGAAAGTTTCTGATTGCCAATGCTGTCCTCCCACAAACACCCATCATTTTCTGCAACGATGATCTTTGCCACCTGTGTGGATATTCCCGAGCGGAAATCCTTCAACGGTCCGCGGCCCTAGAATTCCTATATGGTCCATTAACATCGTCCAAGGCGATTGGTGACTTGAAACGAACTCTGACAGAATGCGAGGAGCGGCTCATTTTGGCTATTCTGTATGATAAATCAGGTAAATCATATGGGATTGATGATTGGTTCCGGGAGCTTGAAGTTTCGCTCTACGTTCCACGTATATAACATAGTCACAACCCGCCATAACTGCCAAAAAGTTTATTAATTTCACGTCAATCTGCATTTGTAGTTTGATGTATGGCGGCGAACCAGAATTGTGCATATATATATATATATATATAAGTATAAATGAAACATCAACACAATGCATCAAACATAAAATCAGTTCTATGTTCTTTGCGGCATTCCATTCCCCTCTGTGACCGCCCCTGCTTCAGGCGGGACCAAGCAGGATCTTTTCGTTCAATACGCCCAACCATGATTCACAATTTCTATCTTGATATGCTGTTCAAATACGATTGTTTTGATACTTCGGTTTGATTTCTTAATATTTTTAATGTTTTTCGCTTCAAAAGAAAGAAGGAGGGGTAGATTCATTCGAAATACGCTTTTGACAAGTGTTGGCTTTGTTGGGACCATATAATTGACTTCGTAACACTCTTTCCTCAGGTACTCACTTTGTGTGTCAGATTGCCGTGGCACCAGTGCGCAACGCGGAAGGTCAAGTACGGCTGTATATTCTAACATTCCGAGCGGCTTCGGATTTCGATGTGGCCAAAAGTTCCATCCAAGAGTCCTACAAAGGAGGTACGTTTATCGCATACTTCCGTGTGTGTGTGTGTGTGTGTGTGTGTGTATTTACGATACATATCGCGATTTAACATTTCATTTAGTTTTAAGCCCTTTTGTTTTATTTTCCTCATCTCGGTTATATTTTCTTCGTATGCCATCCTCGTAAAGTTCACTCGACATGGGCGTCACAATTACCACGCCTGCTTGGTCTTACACGAATCCTCACGTCAATCGGACAGCGACAGCGTTTGTCTACTTCATCGTCAAAGGCTCACTCCGGAGTCTTGGAGGACTCGGAAGAATCCACTATTGCGGATGGCACAAGACATCCGTTGGTGGTTGAAACCGATCGATCCCCTGGTAAGTTGGATCTATGAGCGAATGTGTGCACATGCAGATTGATAGCCTTTTGCTCGTACTATTCCGCGTCTGTGATCCTCAGGTTATGATGACACATCAGACCCCTCTCATCGTTATCTCAGTTCACTTCAACGGGACTTAAAGGGCCCAGCTTACATTCAATTTTGAGATGGAAGTTTGTAAATAATTTGTGTGTTCTATTCGCAGTATTAGATTCCGATAAGAATGTTTCTAAAAGTACCGACGAGAAAGAACCAACGGTAATAATTCCGTTTGGCGCACGTATGCATCTGTTCAGTCATGGTCTGACCGCGTGTGTTTCCCATTCAATCTCCGCTCATCGTTCTTGGTCACAAACAGCTACGTTTGAAAACATTCCTTGTTTTCCTCCCTTCTACGATGGTTGCGTTTTGCCTTCTACTCTCTTCACACAGAAAATGGATTGTGCACAACAACAGCAAAGAAAAGGTTCACAACAAGTGATCATAACTGGACATAGTTTTTACATCTCATACCCATTCAAATGGCTTCGTTTTCTTCCGTCGGAATTGAGATCTCGATCTTTCCCCAAGAAGTCACCTCACAGCGTATGGCTTTCAAAGCGCCTATTGTAGTAGTTCTACTCATTGCCTTTTTCGAGGCGAAGGCTCCAAGTAAAGGGATAAGGCGAAAAGCCAGTCTAAATATTCAAGGTAAGCTAGCTAAGGGTAGTAACTTTGGAATAATCCATTCGATTGTTCACAGGCACTGTGGCTGGTCTTGGGTGTGAGTTTTACTCCTTGGGAGAGAGCTAGCTCATTAGAACTTGAAGTGACGCACAAACCGGGACACTGATCGCGATGACCACTGGTTCGATTCGGTGAAGGGGTATGTATTTGCCATATCGAATAAATGGAACTTTCAACTGATTGTACTGAGAGTCCCCGGTTTTGAATCGATAAAAATTCCTATAAATGCTTGATTAGTTCCATAGTACACATTGAGAACAAGAAAAGTGTGACCCGTTTTCAGTTATTCGCAATATACAGTCTACGGGGCACTTTTCACTCTGTAGCAACTTTGCAGGACGGGAACCTCGAGGACGGACAGATGTTGTCATTTGAAGTGTACCAATTAGTGAAACTATGAATCACATATCAAAAGTACAGCATTAGTGTGGCCATTCCATTGGATGAGCTGAAACACTTGTTATTCTTGTGCACATACACAATGTAATCGTGAATTATATCGCCCGAAGGATGGGGTTGCAATGGGGTCACCTTTGGGACCGCCATTCGCTGACACCTTTTTTGGCCAAACTTGAGAATGATCCTCTCGCACTTGCGTGAAAATATAAATATAAGTTGTGTAGCAGATGCAAATGTGAACACCAATCGGCTGCTTGGGGAGTTCAACAATGTCCATCCAAACATAAAATTAGAAAAACAAAAGGACCAAAGTCCTGCTTTTCTAGATGTATTCATAAGCCGCCGCAGTGGTCGTTCGGTTTAGGTATCGGTACATAAGAAATCAACGTGGAATGGACATTATACTCATTGACTATTCCAATCGTGACATTAATAAAATACGAATAACGCTTGTTTTCAATAACTCCTTCCTCGGTCTAATACGCTTATATATATTGTTCAAAATGACCAAATTAGTTTGGTGGTCTGATGTGATGGACATGATTGGTTGATTGTTTTTTTAAAATGTGTTTTGGAGATGAAAGAGCAGAGATTTTGTTGTTTGGTTTGGAAATGCTCACAGCGAATGGACTGGGTGAATTGTTCCACTTCCAGTCTGCGCCCCTGGGTTATGCCAAAGGCCACAATCGTTTTGGTCGGCTGTCAGGTTGTCAACTGACTGAACGAATCGCTTTTGAGAACAAAGGGATGGATTGAGTAGGCACATAGCCACCGCCTCGACTGTAGCAAGGTGCCGTTGACGAACAGCTTTGAATGGGTTTGCTGGTACTTTGTAGATCACCTTGCGTGTGTCGTTATTTGCTTGATGGCCCGTGTCTGCAAGGTGTTCTGCCACCACACCTGTAATCGTTTTCCTCTTGCCTGTACTCAACCAGGCTCCTTGATTGTTTGGCACAATTGCCTGATCGTTGTTCCTACATAACCTACCGGATAGGAACAAAGAAAGTGTTAAATAGTCATAGATGAGGAGAGGATAGACAGTGTATCTTTAAGATTTACGGAAACCATTCGTCGGCTTGTGAATTAAGTACGTAGCGTTGCAGAAGGGAACTTACGAGCGATGGCCTTTTCTAATCGATGTCTTAGTAAATCAGACTTTAACCCTTCTTTAAAAATAAGTCTGATGAAGAGTTCTTTTATTCTAACTATTGTCAGTGGTGCTTTCGGAGGCCGTTCTGTCAAAGTGTTCAAAACGCATTGTTCCTGGTGATCGTTGTCAAACAGTGTCTGCTTCATACTTTCCAGTCCCTATGGTTAACAGTCTCCTGAACCAGTTCCCCTTGCTCGATATGCGAAGGTTTGAACTAAGTCTCTCTTGACCTTCAGAGGCACAAAACTGGCAAAATTAGAGTATTGCCCAATCCCAGTTGCTTTGCGGTAAACGGAGCGTTTTATCAGGCTTCCATAGCATCTTGTGAATTTTACATTTAGGAAATGAAACATATCTCCGAGTTCCAGTTCGGACGTAAAACCGATGGTGGTGTTGTCATTATTGAAGATATTTAAAAGCGGATCCGTTTTTGATCAAGATGAAAATGTTATCCAAAGAACGACAGTCGAGTGGCTTTAGTGAATTTATAGCATTAGGAAATAGAGAAAATAATCACTCCGTTTTTGCGATGTCGGCCGGTATCCGGTGCTAGATATTTGTATCTGTGCTCGTTTTCTAGTATTTTTCGCACAGCGTATACCACTGTTTTTATACGTGCCGAATCAGTGTCTAGTCGGGTTTGCAGTTTATAAATTTGGCTCAGATGGCGGGACCGGGTTGTCAGATATTCGCGCAGCGCTTGTGAGAAAGAATCAGACGAAAAACTGATCTCTTCTAACGAAACTCGCTGTGTTGTCCCTCAATATCTCCAACCAACCAGTCTTTCGAATTCCAGCCTGGAAAGCAAGTGACATCCACTTTACCCAATCTCTCTGTACACTTCCTCTTGCTTCTTCTCCTTCACATCTCGGAGTGATAACTGCAAGGTTCAGTGCTGCAGTTGACAGATGGGCATGCGTAATTCGTCCAACACTCATCTCAGGGGGCACTCATTCAAATTAGTGCTCCAAAGTGTCAACTAGAATACGGGCGTCATTCATTTACCCTCATAGTGTGCAGTATTTGGAACTCTACCGTCTCACCTTGTTTCTGCTCCCAAAATTAATTATTTCAAGCACAAAGTGGATGAATCATTGACAAGTCTTAAATTTCGACATCCGTAGCAGCGCACGTGACAAAGATAATTTGTGACGTTCCTCATTTTTTCTGTGAACCGTAAATCAATCCATTTGTGCTAAAATCCTAATGGATAAAACTTCGACTTTGAATTTAACCAGCAAAGTCTACTTATCAGCGTTCGATGTGATAACGATTTTCCACGAAATCAATCCCAGCTACTGGACGGCGTACTTCGATGATGCTCACCCGCTTGCTTCACGTTATTCGCCAAACTAAGTAAGCATCGACGACGAATGAATGTCCTTCACGCGCAACGGTAAATGGAAGTGACCAAACAGTGGTACGCTATACGTGACATTCAAATTTCGAGGAAATGCTACATGTACGTCACAAATGTTTTAGTCCTGCTGGAGCCTTGAAATGGGCACCCTATCTTCTTCACTATCACCATTTGTCATACAATTAAGTACGGGAAGCAGTCGACTATAACTAACATCAAAATTGGAGTTGACCCCGATCTTACATCATCACTTTGTAGTTTATAGGTGCAAAAGGCATACCAAAACGGAGAATCCGAAATTGCAGCAACCAAAAATGGCGCACGAAAGTGCATGGTGAATGGTTGTAAAAATTTAACCGGAAACTGAACCTCAACTAGAAGGACATATATGAGTGCGGTGGCCGTGGTAAGCTAGTACACTTTTTGGACATTCTCTTGCGAGGAGGAGAGCCGAAGAGAGTCCCACATTTGACTGATTCAACACTTCGTTTGCGGTCAGGGAAGGTCGCTACTGTTGGTCGATGGTACGGGTGACGCAATGTAACCTAACTGTGATCGATGCACCCACGGCCTTAATGAGAACACCACAACATCCATTTTATCTGTATACACTGATCTGTGAAATCGCTACAATTTACAGAAAGTGAAAATATTCGGTAATCGAACAAGTATTGAATGAAGGCGAAGGCCTTGAATCCATGAATAGGGGTAAAATAACAGCGGAAACACACGGACGGTTTGTCAAATTGCACTATTGTGTTCTTCCGTTTGATGCATATTTTGTGTTTGTTTTTCTTTCATAAATCTTATGCAGTCATTGGTCGCCCATCGATGTAGTTCACTATCATCGTAGATAGTCAGGAGTGGAATAGGTTCCCCAACCGTGTTTTGCGCACGCGCACTCCGCCAAATTTGTAGTTTGATATCATTAACAAGCTTCGATTGAAGCGTAATAATCTTTTACCACCATGCATTAAATACCTTGGTGTGTGTGTATGTGTGTGTGTGTGCGCAAGCTCATCCGGTAACACATGATGTACTTTCAACTTCGTTTGAGCGTCGCCGGTTAGGTGATGAGAAGCCACATATCCGTATTCGAAACAGATTTTTCACAATCCTGTGGTGAGTAGTAACGCGGTCAGTATGAAATAAGCTGCAAGAAAATTCTCATTATATGACGAAATGATGGAGCATATTGGGATAATGAATACGAATAAGATCGCTTCATTAGAGAATACGATCTGTTGCAAAAATAACTGTAATATCAATCGGTTTTTACTTGTCTAGTGGCTGAACTCGCTAGGCTTAATCTTTCATAAGCTGCATGGAATACACCAATCACACATTGCTCATCGGACAGGACCACCGTGCTCGCTGCATGGAGCGGTGTGATTAGGATTAAATGAGCTGCTTATCGGATACCGTGACTTTACCGGATTGATGTCCAACAATTGCGTTTCGTTGAAAACGTTCCCCGTTTTCAGACAATAGGACCACCACCACCACCAGCACCATGCTTGCTCTTCCACAT